CGTATGTCTACTTCAAGTATTGTAGGGGAGAGAGGAGTTCAGTTGAATTTGGTGTTTTCACATAATATGCATATGCGACAAGACACATGGGTGACAAGATTGTATTGGAGCATGAGAGAGATCGAATACTGGTTGATATTGGAACATATTTATCTTCGGAAATTAGTTGATATTATACTAGTTGAGTGAGAGTTTCGTTTCATAGTCTACACCTATACTTGTCGGATGGCAAATAATATAATAATAATAATATATCTCCTCTCGCTTCCTCCGCCGAAAGCTAACAGCAGCAGTAGTATAGGGCACACCCTGCTCCCGTCCCGCTCTCGCTGTGTGGTGTGTGCAACACACGCTGGTTGGTGGGACTCCCTCTCTCTCCAGAGAAAAGGCGAAAAGGCCGGCAGCGTTGAACAACAACAAACAACGGAAACAACAACAACAACATCATCAGCGATGAACCCCAGACCAACCAAACGTTCCCCGCTTCCTCCTCCGTCGCTAACAGCAGTATGTGTGTAACAAGGTTTTCGTCTGATTGAGAGCGAAGTTTCTGATTGAGAGCGAGATTACGCGATGCGCTGTAGCTGGACTACCGCTGAGAGGTGGAGCTTGCTGCGTGACTTGAATTGAAGGCCTANAACAAGGTTTTCGTGTGATTGAGAGCGAAGTTTCTGATTGAGAGCGAGATTGCGCGATGCGCTGTAGCTGGACTACCGCTGAGAGGTGGAGCTTGCTGCGTGACTTGAATTGAAGGCCTAGCCCGTAGCTACAAGCCGATACCCTGGTCATCCTGTGGGCGTCTCTCGTTGTGGGGCTACAGCGGGGAGCAGAATCTACAGCAGATCTCACCGCCCGCGATCAAATCGCCCTAAAACAGTTTGAGGCAGGAATAGCCAATCTGGGGAAATCTAGCAACTTGTTCTTGTTGTGCGCAAGTTTTAGTTTGCAATTTGGTGCCGAGATGGTGAAATGGGCTCGAGTCTGGGTATTTAGGGCGCGCGGACAGACAGACAGACAGCCATTCAAAATTTCGCAATGATTGCGAAATTTCCACGCCCCTGGGCATGAAAATTATTCTTTTTCTCGTGCGCACATATCGTGGAACATCGGCTTACATCAGGAGCACTGCTTCTTCCCTCGCTCCTCGACAAGCTTTTGCTTAGACATGGGTTGTAGTGAAGGGGGGGGTCTTTCTGGCGAGCGGGGCTAGACTCACCCTCAAGGGATGACCGAAACCTTCTTGCTGCTGCGCATAT